AGTGCAGAGCTTCGTGACCACAGAGCTTGTGAACGTTGTGATCAGCTGTTTTAGCGCAGTGCTGCTGTACAGGCCGACGTTAACAGCAGCCATGTCTTTGCACACGGAGACCGACTCCGTCGTCCGGTGATCCAACCGCCTTATGGAAAAGCTTCACATATACATCGGTACGCAAATGCGCTTTGTGACAAAAGTGACGGTACGCATTTCAGATTGTTGCCGCGCATGCGTACCTGCGTACCACTTATGTGCACCCCTGTCCATAGCAGCTTAAAAAGTGACTGGTGCTGGATGGTGTGTGTGTGTGTNNTACAAGTAAACACAATAGTAATAAAAAAGCTACAAATCCCATAGTAAAAATGGACAAAAGTTTAGCAGATGGAGATTCTCATTAAATCACGTAAATCTAAGTATAATAATTTAGTTTTATGGTAAATGTATTATTTTTTTGTTCTGTCGTATTCAAAGCTTCTGTGGTTTTGCGTCGTCTGTATGTTTAGGTGTCGTCAGATGCACTGTCGCTGCTTTCTATCGTTAAAGTATTTCTGCTCTGATGTCTGTGAGTCTGCTGGTTCCTCATCACCTGTCTCTGGAGCATCTGAAGAACATCGTGCTCCATCCGAGGAACCAGAGGAATGCACCTGTGTTGTTGTTTACTGAGTGAACACTAGATGGAGCCGTGGACTCTTTGTTTAGCAGAGGACTGAAGAGCTGCTCGTTTAGTTCAGCAATTCAAGGTAGGACTCATTTCAAAGATATAATAAAACACAAAGTCATATTATATTGAAAAATAAGTAATAATATAGTCAGTGTAGTATTTCAAAAATTGAAAAATAGTCATAGTCGAAAATAAACAGGACAGTCATAGTTTTGTTCTGCTGGCTTCTTGCTGTCTCACCTTGAAAGCTCGGTCAACTGCTTAATCCTCACATCAGAGAGGAATACACACACACACACACACACACACACACACACACACACACACACACACACACACACACACACACTTACATCATCATAAGCCATTGACAGGACACACACACAGAAGGTGAACCTCGCCTGCCTTCCAATCCCTAAACTGCTGCATAGATGAGAAATGAAGGATTATTTCTGTAAAGCTGCTGACTGACACACACACACACACACACACACACACACACACACACACACACACACACACACACATCTGCAGAGGGACATAAGCAGATTATATGTTCAGCAGCCAGGCTGTAGTGAGCCGTTTAAAACTGTCATTTAAAGACGAATAACTTTATTCAAATCACAGCTTTCCCATGATCCTCCTCTGCTGCTTTACTGATATTTAGCTTAGCTTGCATTAATTACATTTATTTATATGGATTAAGTGTTGGAAAGTAACATCGACAACTTGTACTTAACTTCCTCTTTCCATTCATGCTCCAGATGTATTTGAAAGCTCGGGATACTTTGCAGATGTATATGAATATTACAAAACAAATATAAACAGATACATTCTGATGTTTTATTGTGTGTGAAGCCAACCAGCAGTATATCAAGAAATTAATTAAGTTTCTGCACCTTTCCCAACACATGATTGAATCAATATATTTTTAAGTTAATAAGAACATATATTATTGTAAAATGCATAATGACTACTTTTCCTTCTAGTATTTTGTATGTTAGGACTCATACCTGCGCAAGATTGTGAAAATATTGTAAATGATCTGAATATTTCTTCCCGTAACACGTGCTACATCTATAACCCTCCAATTAATACCGCTATCTCATCAATGTCATAATCCGGTGTGAAAAGACAAAAGAACACGGGGTTACAAACATATATCATTTATTAAAAGAACACATGCTGCTACAGTGGTGGATAGAAACAGCTGCTGGACTGTAACAGGTACAATAATAACATCTTACTGATCTCCACAGGATACACGAGCACGTCCGCACACAGGGAACAAGCTCTCCTTAGAAACAACAATATTAAAGTGTGTGTGTGTGTGTGTGTGTGTGTGTGTGTGTGTGTGTGTGTGTGTGTGTGTGTGTGTGTGTGTGTGTGTGTGTGTGTGTGTGTGTGTGTGTGTGTGTCAGCTCCTCTTTGTAACAATGGTTTGATTGCAACACATCACACTGATTTCTTTTTGCGACGTAACGATGTCTGTCTCTTTGTTCGTCTGCGTTTGTTACAAGAAAATAAATAAGAAAACAACATGTTTCTGTCACAGGATGTCAGAACATTTTTCAGGAGGAAAACAAAACCAGTTAGCCAAACAGGAAGTAGAAGCTGTGACACAATATCAGTGTTTGTTTTTTTTGCACAATGCACATGGGCAACTCCTTCAAAACAACACAAAGTTAAAACTGAGTATAATTATTTTAAACAATGTTCAGATAGTTCGCTCTGAGTTTGGTTTGCTATGTTTTTCATATGCAACACGGAGCTTTGGGAAAAAAAGATTCTCTCTCTTTTTGTCCTGATCCATTTCTATAAAACTGAAAACGAGCTGATCAGATTTTGGCCACTTTATGATGTCATAACGATTTTTTGTCTTGTGTAACCATTAGCCAATCAGCAACCAAGGTAACCCCCCCCCCCCCCCTTATCCACCTAGACTCCT